TTTGTCATGTCAAAAATAAATTTAAAGCTTTTATCTTTACTAATGTTTTTATATCAGCGAAATGCTTTTAAATAAAGCAACAGTTATTGTTAACATTTTAATTTAAAGTGTAGATAAAAGTTGTACAAATTTAATCTATATTATTTAAATATATATAAGATAATACAATTAATAAATAAAATAATATGCAGAATTTTTTTATAATTAACCTTATTTATTTTTTAATTATTTAAATTTTAAATAAGCAATGCCTTTAAACAAGGATTGTCTCTTTAATAAACTTTATGTAAGAGTCATTAAAATTAATACACTCGAAAAGATTTTGTTAAGAAGAAAAAAAGACAAATTTTTGAATTAAAGACAGCTGTTTGAATTAAACTTTGATCTTTACTAATGTTTTACTTATTTTCTTTTAAATTTCTTTTAAATTTAATTTTCTTTACTAATTACTAAAACGCTTTTAAATAAAGTAAGAATTAACTACTAATGATTTTTTACATTAAAGTATTAATGCATTTTTCTTTTAAAAAAAAATTAAATTATTAACAAATTAAATCAATTAAAAGAATAGTTTTGTTCATTATTTTTTGTTTTCGTCTTCACTTTTCCTCATTTGTTTTCTGATATTAGATTACTGACAAAAGAAAATATTTTTCTTTTGTTTACAATACTATGAAGAATTGTAAAGTTTTTTTTTTTGCTGTTATCTTTTAAATGCGTATTTATTAAAAAATTGTTGGAAGTTGTTACTTTGTTTAAAAGGATTTCCCTCCCCCTAAAAAAAAAAAGCGTTATTAAAAATAGTTACCTTATAAGTTTAATCGTTTTTTTTTAAAATACCACTAATGCGCTATGAATTTTTTCATAAAAACAAAGGCGTTTATTTACATTTTTTTGTTGATTAGTACTATTTTTTTTTTTTTTACTATTAATATAAATTAATATGGTGCGGTAACAAAGCAGACAACTCACTACTACTTTTACATTATAAAAACATTAGTAAAGATTCAAAGTTATTTGTTTCAAACATAATTATCTAATTGTTTATTATTTATTTTAGTCAAGTTTGTGTTTATTTTTTTTATTTTTGTTTTAGTTATTTATTAATAAGCTATTTTTATTTTATTTTTCATTATTTTTTTAAGAAGATTCTTTTCTTTTTTTAAAATAAGTTTGTTTTTTAAGTTCCTTTATAACTAAGTTAAGTTTTCAGCGATTTATTAAAATGTTAAAACTGTGTTCAAATCGTCAAAACAAAATATTTTTTGTGTGGTCATATAAAGCCGTGAAATCGCACGCCTTCCTGACCAAGCCTGACTTAAGCTATAGCTGAGTACATTGAAGTATCAAGACAATTTGTCTTTTTGTTAACTATGGTGTTCATCATACTGAATGATTGCTCAATGTGAGGACTACTGATTATACTTAGACATGTCTTGATAATTTTACTTAGCTCTACATATTTTTTACACTTAAAAATATCTGCCCACCAATAGTCAAGATGTACGGGCTTACCATCAGCAAATACGGGTGGAAGCGCTTTATCTATCTGAAGTTGCATAACTTCTCAATAAAATACTACTTTATTTATATTTACAGTGGGAAAGAAATTTGGGAGTTTTTTCAACAATCTCTCTGTAACTTCGTGACCTTAAGACATTGGGTCAATTGCAGAGAGGCATTTTAATAAAGGGTTGTTAAAAGGAAATTTATTAAGTAAACTGATGATTCATGGTAGGCTTTTAGCAAGGTCTTAAAAAACGATGATTCAAAGTCAGGATTTCAAATAACTATTCTTGCCAAATATTTTTCAGCATTACTTTCAAGGTATATGTAATTCGAATAGCGATACATTTTTTTATCTTTTAGGTTTTAACTTTGTTCCTGTTATATTTTTTATCATTTTTGGCTTAATAAAACAAGTTAAAATTGTTTTCACCAGTTCAACTTGCTCTTCATAAATTTGATGGACTAACGGTTCTTTTTGTTCAATAGTTAAAACAAATGATTTAAAAATGGGAAGAATTTCAATATATAAATTAATATAAAGTAAGGTTTCATTACATCAGAAAAATAAACTTTTAGCAATCCTAGCCTTTCTTTCTGCACTTTGTTTTGTTAGCTTTTTCTACTGCATTTTGCATTTAATTTTTTCTATTAGTTTTTTACTTTCATTTCATAGCCTGTTTAATATTTTGTCACTTTCATCTTTATACAGAGAGATGTCCAGTTTTGATAACCAAGTAGAATAAATTAAGGTGAAAGCAGGCATCATCTCAAGCATAGGTAGAGCGCAATCTAAAACAGACAACCACCGATGAGAAACTCTTTGCTTTGGAGTGTTGTGTGACACCTGTTATTTGACAAAGTTTTTTTAGAAATGTACGATATGGGTTAAACTTAAAATCAATGTAGATAATATCTAGCAACTTTTCAACTACTTTGCGGAAAAAAAGAAGTAAACTCTTTGACAACATGGTGCACATGATAATATGTGACAAATATCACCATCAATATTAAGTAAATGAAGAACCCCTTTTCTTAATCTTGTTTCAAACCCACTTATTTTTCCCCTCATATAATTGGTAGAATCTGATATATTGGAAACTAGATTACTTAATGGAATTGCGTCTTTGTTAAATAAATGAATAACAGCATTAAAAACATTTTCAGCGTTTACCGTAAGAAGCGATAATGATGCATAGTGTTTTATTACAACTTTACTAATTTTGTCACAAAAATATGCTACGAGTATACTAAGAACTTACTCATTTTTTGCTGAGAAGCACTCATCTATGTTAAAAGAAAACATTTTTATTTTCATTACATAAACAAGATCAGCTTGAAAAGCTTCGCCTAAACATTCTCGCAGCTTATACGAAGCAGTTGTTCTAAACATTTTAAAATTATTTATAACACAATGATCTTTAGAAATTTCCTTTGCGTACTCAATCATATGGGATGTTAAAGATATTGAAAGATTGTGTTCACAAATAAATGCCAGTGTCATAGCTACGGCATTTGATGTCCGGTCTCTAAAACTTACAATAGGTTTAATGGTAGAAATCACTCTATTTATGCAAGTAATGCCAGTATGCACATTATCCTGAGTGCTGTATGGCAATATACATGTATCTGTTTTTTTTTTTTTAATTTAGTAAAAAATGACGACGGTATAGCTTGGTTTGACTTAATTGTTGCACAGTTTTGACAATGTATATGTATTTTCAATTAAGGAATACTTAATTGAAAACTTATATATGTAATTTCATCAGCTTTATCTAACTTTCTTATATAGGCAGAATAATACTCTTCACTATTATCTTTCTCTTAAAGCCAATTCCAGTGAAACTTGATTTTAATATTTTTGTCTATCTCAGAAATGTCAGATAAACTCTTAACTTCCATTTTACAACTTTTTTTTCTTGATCGTATTAACTGACAACAAAAACTTTTGCAAACTTTTAAAACGGAATTTAGATTATTTAACTTTTTTTGAATGAAATTAATTAATATTTTTCAAATTATTAACAAAAAACATCCTGAAATTTCTCGAAAGTTAAAGAAGTTTTGAATGAATTTCCGAAATTCCGGGAATTTCCGGAAAAAACTTATCTATGCTATATATAGTTTCGCAACCATTATAGAGTTTTTCATATAATTCTATAAAGGGAATTGTTTGTGTTGCAATCTTTAATGATTATTCTAAACAAGTATATTCTATATTAAAAATCCAGATGTCGTTCAAAAATCAAACTGTTATTTAAATTTTTTTAATTTTTTTTTTATTTTCTGTTAGGAAAAAATATTAAATAAAAATCAAAAACAGGAAAACAGCTAGCAAAAAAACAGCTGTTTCCTGTTTTCTGATTTTGGCTAAAAAATAGCTGTTTTACGTTTTAAATTTGTGTTACTAATGTAATACTGGAGTTATATTTGCTAAATAATTTATATCAGTTAGAGCTATATCAACTATATTAGTTGGAGCAATATCAAACCATACTTTTGGTGTTATTCCTTGTACCATTAACATTTGAAAAACCATTGTGTTGGCCAATGTTTTAAGAACATAAGCATTGATCTATATTCACCAGTAGATTTATAGATGTTGAGTGTCTCAAAATATTTTTGGACAGATTTATAATCAAATCAAATATTAAAGAGAGAAGTGGAAGAGCATTTAGCAAACAGAGGAAAAATTGAATTTTAAGGTTTAATGTGGGGACATAATGAATTAGCGAAACTCTATTGCTACAGACCAGACAAAGAACCCTATTGATCAAGGCAAAGTTTAGAAATAGAATAAATATATTAAACTACTTTACAAAGTTATATTAAAAAAGAAAAAAGGAAAAAAGCTGTGAATCATCATATTTAAAGTGGGAGCTAAATTAATAAATAAATAGCAAGTAAGTATAACAGTGTAATGCAATTGGAAAAAAACAAAGTTTATAAACAAATTATCGACAGTTCATAAATAAATATAAATAGCAAGTAGGTTAAACAGTTTAATGCAATGATAATAATGATAATAACTGGAAAGAAACAAACAGCTGTGTGTATGTGTGTGTGTGTGTGTTTGTGTGTGTGTGTGTGTGTGTGTGTTTGTGTGTGTGTGTATGTATGTGTATATATATATATATATATATATATATATATATATATATATATATATATATATATATATATATATATATATATATAATATATATATATATATAAAAATTAAAAAGTTGGTATTAAACCATTAATACCAACTTTGCCACTAATATTTTTAAACAAGTTTCATTGTCAAAAAAAGATTTATTTTGTTTTTAATGTTTAGTTTGTTTTTTTGAAGAATTTTGATGACTTTTTTAAAAATCAGTTTTCAATCAGAGTTTTGAGGGAATTATGTTTTCTTATTGGGGTTGGAATCTATAGATATCTGTTAACAATTTGTCAATGTTAATATTATTTTTGCAATCATTATTATAATTGCTTTGTTATTTTAATGCTAGTTACACCAGGATTGATAAGCCTTTCATCACCAGTGGTGCAGTTGGAGAATTTTTTCATTTATTTGAACTGGAATCCAGTTCCTTCTGGAGCATGTTCTGTTACATATAATATAGAATTTATTAACAACACCAATCAGATTGTCAATCAGTTTTCTGAGATTAATACAACATCATTTTCAGCAGCTAACAATGCTAATGCAACATATTTTAGAATATATGCTGTTTATAATGGTACACCAGGAATTGCGTTTAATCAAACTATACCTAATCCACAATCAACTACTACAACTACAACAACAGCAGTTAAAATAACCATTCCAAGTTTAAAACCAGGTTACTTTTTAGTCCACTTGTTGCTTAGCTGATAAAACTGTTTAATTGTTTAATGTCTCTTAATTTATTACGTGACATTTAAATATCAAATGTTTTTTTCTATGCTAATGACCTAAGATTTATGGCATATCAATATTGTTGATGACCATTTTTAGTGAATTGTTATTACTTAATAGTTTTTTATACATTTATTTTATGTTTGTATTTAAAATAATAAAAAATTATATATATTCTCTTAGCAAAAGAATTAATGAAAAAAATATATGTATTTTAACATATTTAAAAAAAGTTAATACATTATTAACATATTTAGGTTTTTAATATATTAAAATTTTAAATAATAAAGAAAGTGTGTTAATTTTTATTACTTATAATTGTTATTAGATATTTCATTTAAAATTTTTTGTTGATTTTTGCTGATTATTCATTTTCAGAAATCAGTGCACGACAAGCAAACACTGGTTTAGGGACAGGAGTAGTAATTGGAATTGCAGTTGGTGCTGTTGTTTTTATTCTTCTAATTGGCATCATTATTGTAGTTATTGTCAAAAAAAGTAATGCTTATGTTCTAGCCATAATTTTGTTTTTCATATTTTATATTATGGATTTAAGTACATTCAATAAGATATTTATTAAGATATAATATTTTCAATTCAGACTCATCTATAAAACAGTTGATTGTCTAAAAAACATCTGATTTCTTTTTACTGCCAATTTTGTCTGTTTAAGGAAGCTTACTAATGAGTCATATTCCAGTAGTAAAACTCAAATAATCTGTGACTATGAAAAAAAAGTTTTATAAAGCTGAAACTTTGCATAGTGATTCCCTAAGGTATATAGATTCGTAAAATAAAGTGTCCCATGACTTCCAACAGAAGAATACCCTTTCTCAGTACCTATAATGAAGAGATGCTTATGCAAAATGTTAAAAAAAATTTTTTAATTTAATAATATACTGTTTAAAGTATTGTATACTGTTTAAATTACTTGGTTAAACATTTTTTATGCTGAAAAATTATTTACACTAGTGTCCCAAAAAATAAAAAGTACCTTTCAAGCTTTTCTCATTCTCTATGGTCCAAATAGGCTAAAAAAAAACTCATTAAGCATTTTTGTTCATTTAAAAGTCATATATATGAAAAACTTCATTTTTAAAAAAAAGTAGTATCAGATATGAAAATTCGTGAAAGGATATGTGAGATCCTGATTTTGCAATAAAAGTACAATTAATAGCAACACAAGTCGGCATTTTAAATTTTGATTATAAGTTTACTGTTCAATATTTTATAACCATCAAATAAAAAACATGAAGTTCGTATATTTTCGCCCGTTTTATACAACTAATATTTAACAAAAATACGGACAAATTATTATCAAATAATTCAATAATTAACACATTAATTAATGGCTATAATTCAAGATAGATGGTAATTTAAATTGTTAAAATGTCATAACGCGCATTAAATATTTGGTATTTCCAAATGTGTGTCGTATTTATCTCTTAACATGAAAAATAAAAAATTTTTAAAAATACAATTTACAAATACAAATTTTCAAGCAATTTTCTCTTCCAATTTTCATTTATTCAAAGAAGTTACTATTTAAAGACAAGTGACGCAAAAAAAAAAAATATTTTATACAACTCTTATTTATTCAATGTTTAATTACGTGAAACTTTTCTTTCTCTTTTGTTCTACTCTTTTATAAAAAGAGCGCCCGATGAAATAAAAACTTTTCTTTTTTAACATAAAGTTATAGTTTGAGATAAAATTAAATTAGAAATAAATCAACAATGAGCAATGCAACGAACAGATTGATCTGGAACTAAATCCAGATTAATATGTTAAAATAGTTTAATCTGTTAAAATAGTCCAGATTAATCTTTCAAAATAGTTAACTATTTTGATATTTATGAAAATAATCAACATAAACAACATTACCAACAACAATTATCAAATAAACAACACAATCTCGCATAATTTTAGAGGCATTTTATTTTTATTGCTTAGTCGTTCTAAATAATAATTAAATTTAGTTCAAGTTAATAATTATATATTTACAATTGCAATATAATAAAGAAATGGTGTTTAATGTTGAACTTTTTATTTAGTTATTTATTTTTTACCTACATTTGTTATAAAAAACTTTAGAACCCCCGTCATTAAAATTACTTGTTTTAAAATTTTTTTTGTTTGACTTTCTGAACTTTGTGCAAAGCAAATTGAAACGAAATTTCGTCTAACCAAATAAAAAAGCTGTACTAATTTTATTGGGGTAATTAATATAAAACAATTTTTTATCAGAGTCTTGATTGAGATAATAAATATTCATAATTTATAAACATTAAAAATATGGCGCAATAACAATTTATAGCAACGAACCAGCATAAAATATTTGAGGTTTTTAGTATCTTTTTAAATGGTAAAAATAGAAAAAAAAACAACTAAATAAATCAAAAAAACTAAACAAATCAATAAAAATATTTATAAAGTTTCATTTGTTAAAAGTCTACCGTGACGTCAAATACTATAACTTATATGAATTAAACGCGCTCCAAAGGAATCGTCAAAGTCTGTAGATAGCGGCGTATAATTTGAAGACTTCGAGTTATTGAAAAAAAATGTAGAAGGCGAGCTTCGGCTAAATCAACAACATTAGTTTTTCTCGGTATGCATTCATTATTTATTTTTAATCAAAAAAACTTGGTTCAAATCTTTTTTTTTAACATTATCTTTAAATGAACACAACATGTGTTGGGAGTTTGGGATCTCTTTAAACACTAAAAAATTCTAGATCCCTCACTGGCTGCAAACTAAATAAAGATATTTAGTAAAATAATATTTTAAATCTATATTATATATATATATATATATATATATATATATATATATATATATATATATATATATATATATATATATATATATATATATATATATATATATATACTCATATAGTGTCGCTTTAAGAGCATTTTAATGTAAAAAAAGTTTCTTACGACTACAATTTTAATTACCTCGTCTCTTAAGCTGTTTTTGATTGTCATCGAAATGTCAAAGCAATTAATTTATGCGGAAGTACATTAAATTTAATTGTTTTTTAAAAAATTTTCAAAAAACCGCAATTATAACGACTAGAAAGTTTTTTTTAATTAGTGGTGTTTTTCTTATTGATTTAATAAAAAACATTTTTTAAACATGCGTAAATGTTGCTACATCGACTATCTTAAAGCCTGACTCGCAACGGAGTGCTGCTACATCGACTGACAAATAGCCTGATTCGCAACGGAGTGCTGCTACATCGACTGACAAATAGCCTGACTCGCAACGGAGTGCTGCTACATCGACTGACAAATAGCCTGACTCGCAAGGGAATGCTGCTACATCGACTGACAAATAGCCTGACTCGCAAGGGAGTGCTGCTACAACGACTGACAAATAGCCTGACTCGCAAGAGAGTGCTGCTACATCGACTGAGGGTTTGGTTTGGCCAGGCAGTCTATCAATTAAAAAAAAAAATTTAATTTTTAAAACTTTTTCTGGTCTGGTTTATTAACGCGCTCTTTAAAACTACAGTTTATGGGAAATATTTTTTGATGCTACGCAAGAGACATGCAAGACTATATATATATATATATATATATATATATATATATATATATATATATATATATATATATATATATATATATATATATAATAAAATAATATTTTAAATCTATATTATATATAGTATATATACATATATATATAAATATATATATATATATATATATATATATATATATATATATATATATATATATAATATAGATTTAAAATATTATTTTACTAAATATCTTGTGTGTGTGTATGAAATGATGTGGATAAGCCTTCTATAGTTGAAAGGAAGAAAGTAATTCAGTAAAGACAGAGAAATGAAGTTCGTCTTGTTGTTGACTTGCCAATGTTTGGTGGGTCTGGAATAAGCAATGATGGAAACACTGGAAGGCGATTTTTTATCAGAGAGCTGAAGAAGTCTGTGCAATAACCGATTTCGAGATTAACTTTGTCAAGATTATCCATGTCATTCTGCCAACACTTTCATCTGGATTCGATATTGATCCTAACAAGCTACAGGCATTTTGTTATCAAGTTGCTAGACAATATAACAAACTTTATTCATGGTACTACAAGCCACAAAGTCTTCATCAAATACTCATCCACGGACATGATGTCGTCAGATGTATGGCTTTGCTAATTGGAATGCTATCTGAGGAGAGCCAGGAGTCTCTAAACAAAGATTTCAAAAGGTTTTGAGAGAGCTTTACAAGAAAGATGTCCTGAACAGCAACAAATTAAGATTTGTTGAGGCGGCTGATGTGTTCTTCTGATCCTCTCATATCCAGTATGAGACGTAGTATTTCTTTTATACTGACTATGCCTATTCTGTATGAATTACATAAAAAAAGCCATTAACAAATAAACAAATGTTCATGGTTGAAACCAATTAATAAATTATTTTGATATGTAGTGTAGGGCAAGGTGAAAACTTATATATTTAAAATAACTATTATAACAAAGCAAATGTTATTGTTGCTATGCAAATTTGGTGTCTAAAAAAACAAAACAGTTCATTAAATCAATAATTTTTCAAATCACATTATTCATTTAATATAAAAACCAAAATTTGTTACAATACTGTTTAAAGTTTAAAAAAGTATTAATTTTGTCTCAAACTGACTTTATTATAAACCAAAAAACCTGGGTGTAATGCAAATAAGGTGTCCATAGCAACCAAATAACAAAAATATTATCTTCATAAGAAGCACAGATCTCAGTAAACATGCCAAATTTGGTGAATATATGACTAATAGGTAAAAAGTTTTTGTCTCAAAACCGGTATTCTGACCCACTGTGCTTTCATGTGAATACCTAATGTAAATGCACTTATTGAAAGCATAAAGATGTTTCTGAAAATTAATTTCTTATATATATTAAATTAACAGTATGTTTGAAATTTGATGGAAAATAAATTAAATTTAAAATAAACTTAAATTGAAGTTAAAAAATGGTGGGAAAGTCAAAGGAGTTATTATGAGAAAAGAAAAATTTAATAATACTTACTGCAGAGAAGAAGATTCTATATAAGCAAATTTCTTTGCTTTATGAAGCAGGCAGATCAAAGATAACTAATGAACATCAAGACATAATTAAGTTAATACAATCAAATTGAGATTCTCGCATAAGTGCTGTTGAATTGAATGGCATTTTGACTGCCAAGGTTTTTGCAGTCAACAATGGTTGTTGACTGCCAAGAAACCATTAATATTATTATAGAATTGCCTAGCCCAAATAAAATTTTCCATAGATCTTTTTTTTTTTTCTTTTTTTTAAACATCTTCGCTTCCAAAGTTTTGGAAGTTACTGGTTACCACTAATTAGAGTTGGAAGTTATTTGCATTGGGCTTGAAAATTTCTTGCAAAAGAATGGTTAGAAGTTTTATTCAATGAGGAATCAAAGTTTTGCATGATTGGTAGCAATGGTATCTTGAGACATCCAAAAGGTAAATGGT